TTTTCATATGTTTGAACATATTGAAAATCTAACAGGTGGAAAATTATTTAAAATATATTGAGTAGAGGTGCATGTATTAAAAAGAAAGTAAAACAAATTATCACACAGATTTATGAAAGTAAGCCACTTGGACTATTAAAGAAGATTATACAAACTGACTTTGATGCATCAGTCCAAGGAGCCTTTACAAAAATATCTAGGTTTGATCTGATCAATATATGAGAGCTTGGTCAGACCATGAAAAGTTCAGTCTGCTGACATAGTGGAGAGAACTGCAGCCTTTCTGTGGGAGATTGTTATGAGACTCTCTAGTGCCCATTAGTAATGCTGTATTTTGCGGGATCCCTTCATATCTCCAATTTTCTTGAAGAGATCTCTGGGCCTCCCTGTTCTATTGTTTTCTTCTATTTCTTTACACTGTTCATTTGAGAAGGCCTTCTTATCTCTTCTAGCTATTCTCTGGAATTCTGCATTCAATTGGGTGTATCTTTCTCTTTCTTCCTTGCCTTATGCTTCCCTTCTTTCCTCAACTATTTGTAAAGCTTCCTCGGACAGCCATTTTGCTTTCTTGCATTTCTTTTTCTTTGGGATGGTTTTAGTTGCTACCTCTTGTGCAATATTGTGAACCTCTGTCCATAGTTCTTCAGGCACTCTGTCTATCAGATCTAATTCCTTAAATCTATTTGTCACCTCTACTGTATATTTGTAAGAAATGTGATTTAGGTCATGCCTGAGTGGCCTAGTGCTTTCCCTCATTTTCTTCAATTTAAGCCTGAACTTTGCAACAAGAAGCTCATGATCAGAGCCACAGTCAGCTCCTGGTTTCACTTAACTGTGATTAACTGTGGCCCTCCACATTCATAGTGATTAGGGGATCAAGACCCATGCAAAATTGGGAAAACCATGAATATCTCTAGGAAAAAATCATGAGTATTTCACATGTAAATATGTGTGAATGCACAGATGACCACTCAAAGAACATCAGTTACAAGTAAGCAGTCTTACTTTATGCATCAGGACAATCAAGTGCTACGGCACCCCCAGTTCTTTCAGGACCATGCATAGTTTCTCATGATCCACACAGTCAAATACTTTGCTGTGGTCTATAAATCATAGACTGAGCATTGTTTGAAATTCTTTGAAATATGTTCTATGTATATTTGTGATATGATCTCAAGCACCTCTTTCTTTTCAGAATACAACTTGAACAGCAAGCATTTCTCACTCATATGGGATATAATTAATTATTGCAACACTTTGAGCATCACTTTGCTTGAATGGGATATTAGTACAGGGTTCCTATAGTTGCTACACTCTTTTTCATCTCCTTTCTTGTAGATTGGAATGTGTAACGAACCTTTCCAGTCTGGGGGCCATTGTTTTCTTCTCCATATTTGTTGGCATATTCTTGATAGGATTTGGAGTGATGCTATTGGTGATCTATCTATTCTCTGTGTTTTATTCCTTCCAAATGTTCTCAGAACAGCTTTCATTTCACTTGTAATATTGCAGGCTCTTCATACGTTTCCTCTTCAAAGGTGTCTGTCATCTTTTTATTCTGTATAGTGTTTGCAGCTTCTTCTAATTTTATCCTGATCAGATAGTGTGTTCTTTCAGTATTCCTAATCTAGGCATGAACTTCCCTTTGTTTTCTTGGAAAACAAGCCAGCAAACACAGAACAAATCTTTTTAGGCATAGAAAGCTGACATAGTTATACAGTGGATAGAAATAATTAAGGCCATCAAGAACAATCAAGCACTCATCAAGTAATTAACATTAGTCTCATTCCCATACAAGCAAGTCCAAGGGGAAGAGTATAAGAACCAGGGACTTAGAACATGGAAATGGGCAAGCTCTCAACACAGACCTGGCAACCCAGTCTGGAATGTGGAATGCTTGTATCCTTTCTGCCCACACAAGGGACTACTGTTGAGAGTCAGGACAGCTGACAAACTGGGGCTAGACATGGATGGCATTGTTCTAGGCTTCCCTGACACTTTTAAATTCTCTCACCATGTTAAAGTGTGCATACAGGAGTAGGCAAACAAACCATAGTTATTTTTAACTACCGTCTGTTAGTTTGGATGAAGTAAACACCTGCAGTTAACCAAACTTTAAGCAAAAGTTTCTGAACTACTCCTTTTGACCGCACTGTAGGTGAATGGACAGCTTGTGCAAATTTGTTCACATTGTGCTAAGCTATGGGTTATTTATTTATTATTTTTCTATACTGCCCACCAGCCAAAGCTCTCACATCACAACAAAATATTAAAAATAATATAAAACATACCAATTAGAACATATTAAAACATCATAAAAAGTTGACATTACAAATTTTAAAACCAAATAAAAAACAAAAACAAGACCCAGTTAGACCCTGACTAACAACCGACAGGGTGCAGTAACTATTTAAATTCCCTGCGGGAGAGGACAGTCTTTACCTGGCACTGAAAAGATAGTAAAATTCGTGCCGGGAGAGCCTCAGTGGGGAGCTCATTCCATAACTGGGGGGTGGGGGGAGGCACCACTGAAAAGGCTCTTCTTGTTGCCATCAACTGAGCTTCCCTCAGAAGTGGCAATCAGACAAAGGTCATAAAACTTGATTGTAGTGTTTGGGTAGATAGAGGATGGAAGAGGCATTCTGTCAGGTATCATGGTCCTACAAGGTCATGGTCCTCGTAAGCCATGTAGGGCTTTATAGGGCTTGAATTGGGCTTGGAAGCATATAGGCAACCAGTGTAAGCAGGCAAGACTTGGTGTCAGAATCATCTGATCCCTGTTATATATCTGGCTGCACAAGCTTTAGCTTCTGAACAGTCTTCAAGGGCAGCCCCAAGTAGAGTGCATTGCAGTAGCCTAGTTTAGAGATTACTAGAGCATAAATAACTGACATCAAGCTATCTCTGTCCAAAAAGGGACACAGCTGAGCTACCAGTCCCAGTTGGTAAAGGGCATTCTGAGCCACTGAAGCCACCTGGGCCTCAAGTGATAAAGATGGCTTAAAGAGCACCTCCAAGCTTTAAACCTACTCTTTCAAGATGCTCAACTCCATCTAGAACAGGTTGGATTCGCTCAATGTAGACAGAAGAGCCACCACCAACAGTATCTCAGTCTTGTCTGGATTGAACTTCAGATTGTTAGCCTTCATTCAATTGATTGTTGCGGCCAGGCACCATTTCAGCACATCCACGGCCTCACCTGCTGAAGATTAAAAGGAGAGATCCACTCCATAACTCCAGATGACCTCACCCAGTGGTTTCATATAGACTTTAAATGCGGGACAAAACTGACCCCCGAGGAACCCCCTATTGGAGGATCCAAGGGGCAGAGCAATATCAGAGCATGATCTTAATCAAGTACCTTGTCAACTCTACAACAGAGAGGGTGCTCAGAGTAATCGTGTCAACTGCCTGGATCATCTCTGTATTCCAGAGATCAGCCAGGAGTTCAACAGGACCACCAGCCATAGCAGCCAGAAGACACCCCAGAGCCCTCTGGAATCTTTCTGGATCCATCAGCCTTTGGGAGTGGACCATCTTAAAGGTTCCTCCCCTCTGCAATTAGTCTCAATTCCAACAGGCAGTGATCTGACCATGACAAGAGGTCCAGTTCAAAGTCTCACTATCCCCTTGCCTAGCTGAGAAATCCAAATCCAGAGTGTGGCCCTCTACATGTGTTGATCCAACCCCCTGGTTGTCATAGAGTCCATGAAGACCTGAGCTGCCCCCAAAACTATACCCTCAGTATGGATGTTGACATTTCCCTAAAACATATTTTAGTTAGATGTGCAAGTGCAGCCATAGAGTGCTAAGATTTTGAGGCTCTGCAAACTAAGAGAATTAAGGGATACAGGAGCATTTTCTCTGGAGACTGGATTTGAGATAGGTGCATTTTGCTGCTTAACCTATATATTTGTAAATTCCAATTTTACAAAATATAATAAGCCTATAAACATCTCCTTCCAGAGAAAATCCTTAGGTATGTGCTGCAACTCTGGAGCTTCTCATAGCTGATGGAAGTTGGGATAAGCAGAACAGTATGTTTACTATACCTTCTGTACATTTATATTTTTGTATGACAGTGATACAGTTTTTAAAATATTTTATACGATACAGTTTCATTAGACTGTTTCCCAAGATCATAGCATCTTCCAATAGTAGCATTGGAAGAAGCCAAGAAGGCATTGCATCCAACCCCTGCTGGTGCAGGACACCAATTATGTCATCCCACACAGATAACTCTGTTTTCTTCTTGAATGCCTCTAGTGTGGAGGAGCGCACCACCTCTCTTGGCAACTGGTTCGACTGTCGTATTGCTCTTGCAGTTAGAAGTTCTTCCTTGTGTCTATCCTTCACCTAGTGTACTGTAGTTTAAGTTCACTGTTCCATGTCCTACCATCTGGTATAAGTGAAAGGTCCTTTCTTTCTTTTTGTGAGAGCCTTTGAGGTACCTGCAGATTGCTATCATGGCACCTCATACTCTTCTTTTCTCAAGGTTGAACAGGCCCAGTTCTTTCAGCCTCTCATCATAAGACTTATTTTCCAGGCCTTGTATCATCTTTGTTACCCTCCCCTCTGAACACTCTCCAGATTATCAGCATCATTTTAAAAACTGGGTGCCCAAAATTGAACACTATATTCCAGGTGAGGTCCGGGTGAGGTCATATTTTACAGCAGGCTGATATTCCATGGGAAGCTCAGTTTTGTGTCTGTTTTCTTCAAACAATGGGTTCACTTAATGCCTAAGTAATTTAAATGAAAAAAAAAAAAATCAGCACAGAGGTCTACAATTGACTGCAGGAAAAAACAAAACAAAACAGTGGATTGTAGGAGTAGTGAAAGTATTAAGTAACTCCTCTGCCTCTTCCTTGCCACTTTTGCCACTCCTGTTTACACTTCCTTTGCATTAAAAAGGGGAAGGCAGAATTATATATTAAAGCTTAATGTGCATGTTGAACTTCTGCATAAAAGTTTTTTTTTGTTTCCAATCTTTCAACAAGGTTAACAAATAACTCTGAAATGGATGAGCACAAAACTAAATTATCAGATGAAAAAGAGGTAAGACAATGTAAAGCAATAGCTTCAGCACCCTGAAGAAAGAGAAAATTCTTAGATTGAATAAACTTCAAGTCAATGATTGTGTCATAGCAAATGAATGTGACCTGTGCTGTTTCATTTTTGTTGGATGTACAATTATAGTACGATAAATACTTACAGAAATCCAGATAACTTGATATTATAGAACCAGAGAACATTTTAAATAAAGGAGTGCCTAATCTTCCTACACATTGCTCTAAACTGATAAACAGTTTTTTAAAAAAATAACTAAGAAATGCAGTTGTGGTATTGGAGTCAGTGAAAATGTTAATATATTTCCAGAGGTGCTTGAATTTAACTCATGTTGATCAGACATCAGTAGACCTTGGAGAAAGGAATGAACCTCTTTTCATACCACATCTTACCTTCCTAACAGAAATATCAGCAGCAAACATGTGCCCCCTGTGAGTTGCAGGTTTTCTTTTCTTTGTATAGTAAAATGTATATTTTTAGAATCTTGATTAAGGTGGGATTATTATTATTATTTAAAAAATAATAGTGAATATTCCTTAATGTCTAGGTCAGACTTCCATACCTTGTGCCTTTGGGGCAAAAAAACCCTAACTTCAAGTATAAGCTGATGGGATATGAGTTAGTGATGAATGACAAAGAAAGATATCTTAGACTTGTGCCAGATGGCTTGATGAAAATGTCTACTCAGTGCACAGCAGCAATGAAAAAAATTCTATTTTAGTCATAATTAGAAAAGTCATAGGAAACAAAATAAAACAACCAATAACATACTGTTCTGTTGTGCAGCTACCCTTGGACAACAATGTACAGTTCACTATGATGAAACCCCTGTTTGTTGACTTGGAATGGAATGTACTATGAATATTCAAAATATTTAATTGGCTACATTTTAAGCATTATTTTGTTTAATTTTTGAGATGAAGTCTAAGAGATGTGTGGGTGCATCTTTCATTTTTGTAGAGAAAGATTTGTTCTATACTTGTGTATTATAGTTTAATCAATTATTTCCTTTGATCTGTCTCATCTGTATTCCTGTACTTTTAGAGATGAACAAAAAAGAAGAGAGAACATTAAAACAGAGAAGTACTTTATTAAAATATATTATAATAATAAATTGGTCTCTTTTACAAAAGAAGCTTCTCTTCACCAGAATTTTAAAGTAGTATTTCAGCAAATGTTTCGAATTCAAGTGTTAAACTGGCCTGAATCTCTTCGATTAGAGGTATGATTGTTCAGTTAATCAGAATGGCCCAGCACTGTAGTATCACTTGGAATTTTATCCTATTCTCTTTATACAAAATTAACTTTAATTAGAATTGTTTTATGCTGCAAAAATATTCCAACTATTTTTATGAATTATTTTCTTTTATTCTTGTGGTTGTTTCATGTATTTTGAAATTACTATGTATGCCACATGTACACTGTGTAAACATACAGTAGGTTTAATAATGTGTGAAATGGTAACATTCCTTTTTTACATTGTGTAGACCCTGGGTCCTCAAACTACAGCCCACAGGCCGGATATAGCCTGTCATTCTCATTTATCTGGCCTGCCGCAGAGCTTTTGGACTCGCTTGGAGAAAACGATCTCTGAGCAAGTCCAAAAGCTCTGAGCCAGCGAAGGGGTTCTTTGAAACTGAGCAGAGAGCCAGTGCATGTGCCAAATTATAACAGCTCAACTGTGTGTGTGCCGGCTCTTCCCCGCACCCCCCATTGCATGCATATACAGAGCGGGAATATGGAGCAGGAAATAGAAGAGAGGAGGGCGGAAGAGAGAGAGAGATGAAGACACTAAAAAAGGACTGAAAGTAAGAAAAATATAACTTTTTAAATGCATTTTTAAGTATATGAGCCATATCCCTGGGCTGCAGGCCAAGCTGCACCACCTCACTGAGCCCAGGGGCAGTTGCTCGATGGTGATGGCGGCTTGCCCAGAGATGGGCGTGGCAGAGCTGTGGGAGCCACGGCCTTTTATGGGCAAGCTGCCACCGTCGAGCAGCCACCATGCTTCTTCCCTCTGTGGCGGGGATAGGCAGGAGGCGCCCCACTCGCCCAGCTGTGGCCCTGTCCCTGGCCTCCCCTCACCTCAGAAAGAAGCCCTTACCTCCCTTCTCGCGGTCCTCTCCCAACTGGGGGAACTGCCCCACGCTCACCTCTCTGGCTTTCCACTCCTGTGCCCTTGGAACCAGGTCAGCGGCAAGGACAATAATTTCCATCATGCCCAACCAGCATGGCCAATGGAAGTTGTAGCCCAACTCATCTGGACAGTACCAGTTTTGGCAAGGTTGCACTTAAAATATGGTAGTCATTAGCTCTGCATCCAAATATAGCCATTGTGTATTGTGGGAATTGTTCTGGGCTGACTTGCTTCAAATACTAAGAGTGGCATTAACAGTATTTATCCTTAGTATTTTTGCTTCATTCTTTGTAAATGCCAGCTGCATTATGCAAAATACAATATTTAGTGCCTTGGTTGTGTTGTAGGTATGTCCCTTGAATATGGACATGCTCTTCCCTATCTCATCTTGGGCTTCTGCTGCAGCCCAAGGGAGCAGAACAAACATTTTTTAATTTTTTTTAAAAATAATTTTTAATCTGTTTTAATTTTAATCAATTTTTGATGTGCAGTATGCATAGGAATTTGTTCAATTTTTTTTCAAACTATAGTCTGCCACCCCCAACAGTCTGAGGGACAGTGAACTGGCCCCCTGTTTAAAAAGTTTGAGGACCCCTGCTGTAGACCATCTATAAATGCCATGGGAAGCTAGGCCAACTATAGTTTCCTTGATCGATGTACATTTGGAAGGAGTAAAAAAGATTGTCTACACCAATTTTGTATATTTTGTATTGTGTCCTATATTTAAAACGTTATTTAAGTAGTTATCTTTGAGAAAATATTGTCGTGTACTAATGGGATCTTTTTTTGGAAACCCATTTTGAATTAGTACCAGTGTTTAAAATAACCTTGATAATTTTTTTTAAAAATACACTCTTTTTTTGCATATTTCTTACCTTTATTTGGTTAATTAGTTTGAGGCATCTTCCTCTGATACAGCTTGATTTTCCTTTTCTTTTTAAATAATGTATGATTTATTTAATTTTAGGTTTTTGAATCCAGTAAAAAAAAAGAATTGACCAAAGTGTATTTGCCCCTTCCAAGTAACTTTGTACTGAAGAGCAAAGATGTTTTGGATGAGATAGAATTTAGCTGTGAAGAGCAAGTTAAACCTTCCAATGGGACAATGGGAAGCAGTAAGTTAATCATTGGTATTTTTGCTTGTATATGCACTATTGTGATTGCTGCCTTCAAGGTTACAAATGTAGTCACCTAGATAGTTTTCAACACTGGAAACTGGAACTGAGAAGTGTGTATTGGTTGATTATGCTAGATTGCTCAGTTGTTTTTGAATAGGTTGTAAAAGTGTTATTTTAAATGCCATTTTCTTACTAAAAGGCAGGATACAAAGTGAAAAAGTGCTATTTTATGGTGGCTTCTATTATTCCTAGAGGTTTGGTACCAAGAGGTGGCTGCTGTTCATTCTTGCAAACTTTAGATTGTGAGGGACTTCAGGAATGCTGAGTGATTTCTGACTGGAGATTTGGGGAACAGCAACATTGATCTGATGTTGACACCTAGTTCTACATTTTCTTTCCATCTCACTTTAGAGATGGTGTGGAAGTCTTGAATCAGTGAGGTTAGTGATGGAATGGAAGTGGGTGAACAAATATGAAGCTCTAGACAAAATAAGGAATATTGCTGGTTTAAGTATTGTTGGATGGTTGATCTGGGATTAGGTATGCAGTCTGTTCTAGATAGTATTGCACTTGACCCTTAGAAATTTGGTTAATAGCTTGGAGATTCTTGTTTAGCCAGAATGGTTCCACGATGACCATATAGTAGCTATGACTGGAAGTGCTTCCGTTCAGTTAGGTTAGTGTACCTGCTGTTGCTTTCCTGGAGAGAGCAGCTCTTGCTATGGGTACACATGCTTTCATTATATTCAGATTAAATTGCTGCAACATTCTGTGTGAGGCTAGTTCTGAGAAGTGTCCAGAAATTTAAATTAGTTTTAAATTTAACAACTAGAATCCTGAAGGTATTCTGGAATGTTATTTTGATACCATACCACAAACTGTATCAAATAAATAAATACTTTGAAACTGTATGAACTACGTTGTCTTCCAGTTTGTTTCACGGTCAATTCAAAGGACTGCTTTGGCCCCAGGTTACCGAATTTATTTATTTATTTATTTAGAATTTTTGTATGCCGTCCCATCGCTTATAGCCTCAGGATGGCTCACATAAATAAATAAACACAATACAAATACAGTTAAAACCCAGAAACACCCTGGCTGCACAATTAAAACCTATAAATATTATTAAGCATTGTTAAAATATTGTTTAAATAGAAAGATCTTAGCCTAGCGCCGAAAAACAAATAACGATGGCACCAGGCAGAACTCTCTGGGGAGCGCATTCCACAGATGGGGCGCCACTGCAGAGAAAGCTCTCCTCCGAGTACTTTGCCTCCTGATGTCGCTCCCAGAGGAGGGCCTCTGCTGCTGATCTCAAGGGGCGGGAGGGCAAATATGGAAGCAGGCGTTTCTTTAGGTATCCAGGTGCCAAGCCATTAAGGGCTTTATAGATGATTACCAGTACCTTGAATTGAGCCCGGACTTGGATGGGAAGTCAGTGAAGCTGGTAGAGGACTGGGGTTATATAAGAATAACGCCCAGTCCCCGTCAGCAACCTGGCTGCTCTACTTTGCACCATCTGAAGTATCCAAACTGTCTTCAAGGGCAACCCCACGTAGAGCACATTACAGAAATCCAACCAGGAAGTAACCAATGCATGCGTCACTGTCACTAGGCAGTCATCCTCCAGGTAGGGACACAGCTGATGGATTAGCTGAAGCTGAAGGAAAGCACTCCTCGCCACCACAGTCACTTGAGCTTCCAAAGACAGCTCCGGGTTGAGGAGCACTCCCAAGCTGTGGACCCTGTCCTTTAGAGGGAGTGCAACCCCATTCAGGACAAGGTCCAAGTCACCTACCCAGGAGCTCGAACCTCCCACGAGCAAGGGGGACAAAATGGACCCTTGCGGTACTCCATGGTATAGCTGCCATGGCGCAGAGGCAAAGTCCCCCAGCACCACCTTCTGGAATCGGCTGTCGAGGTAGGAGTGGAACCACTGCCAAGCAGTGCATCCTTTTCCTAGCCCCCTTAGCCTATCCAGAAGGATACCATGGTCGATGGTATCGAAAGCCACTGAGAGGTCCAGGAGAACCAACAGGGACACACTCCCCCTGTCTCTCTCCCTGCACAGGTCATCATACAGGGTGACCAAGGCAAATTCAGTACCATACCTGGGTCTGAAGCCAGACTGAAATGGGTCCAGATAATCAGTCTCATTCAAGAGAGCTTGGAGTTGTCCCACTGCCACCCATTCCAACACCTTGCCCATGAACGTGATGTTGGCCACTGATCTGTAATTGGCGGCCATCTCTGGATCCAGGGATGTCTTCTTTAGGACCGGCCTGACCACTGCCACCTTTAGAGGGGCCGGCACCCAACCGTCCCTCAGAGAGGCATTGATGACCTCCAGGATCCAGGCACCAATCCCGTGTTTGACTTTGGACAGTAGCCACGACGGGCAAGGGTCAAATAAATGGGTGGTGGGATGTACTTGTCCAAGCACCTTGTCCACATCATCAGGCTGCAATAACTGAAACTCATCTAACAATATGTGACCAGACGGTGACATTGGCACCTCCCCTAGGGAATCTGAATCACTAGTGGAGTCCAATTCATGATGAATCTGAGTGATTTTCTCCTTAAAGTGCTGGGCACGTCACAGCGGGTTATCAAGGGTGGTACCGGATCTTTTTTAGGGCCTGGATGTACCAGCCCCTGTACCACCCGAAAAAGCTCCGCTGGACGGCACTGTAAGGAGGCAATGGAAGTGGAGAAGAATTTCTTCTTTGCCACCCTCACCGCCATAGCATAGGCTCGATAATGGGCTCTTAAGTGTGTTCGGTCAGATTCATCATGAGATTTCCTCCACCTACGCTCTAGCCATCTCCCAACGCACTTCATCGCCCATAATTCAGGTGTATACCAAGGGGATGAGCAGGTTCTGCCAGGCGGGACAGGACGCTTAGGAGCAATCATGTCAATAGCTCTGGCCATTTCCCCATTCCAGAGTTCAACCAGAGCATCAACAGGAGCGCCAGCTTTATCAACCGGAAACTCCCCCAGAGCTTTCAGGAATCCATCCGGATCCATCCGGCTCCAAGGGCGGAACAAGACAATAGGGTCCGCACCCTTACAGAGGGAAAGGCCGACATTGAGCTTGAACCTCACGAGGAAGTGATCTGACCATGACAGGGAAGTCAAACATAAATTGCTCACCCTCAGATCCCCCTCTTCCTGCCCCGTTGAGAAAACCAGGTCCAGTGTGTGTCCATGTTCATGGGTCGGGCCAATGACATGTTGAGACAGCCCCATGGCCGTCATGGAGGCCATGAAGTCCTGAGCCACCTCGGTCAGAACAGTCTCGGCATGGAGATTGAAGTCCCCCAGGATCAGCATCCTGGGAGTCTTCAACACCAGGTCTGAGACGGTCTCCATCAGCTCAGGCAGGGAGTCTGTTGGGCAGAAGGGTGCACAGTACACCAGCAGAATCCCCAAACTGTCTTGGTCGCCCAGCACCAGGTAGAGGCACTCTAGACCCAGTCTTGAGAGAACAGGAAGGCCCGCAAAGGTAATTGAAGCCCGATGAACTAAAGCGACCCCCCTCCCCTCCCCTCCAGGCGTGGCTGGTGCTGGACCAGATAACTGGGCAGAACCAGTTGAGAGAGGGACACATCCCCCCCCCCTCCCGCCCAGGTCTCTGTGATGCAAGCCAGGTCGGCCCCCTCATCCACAATTAGGTTGCGGATGAGGGATGTTTTATTATGGACCGACCTGGCATTAAGTAGCAGCACCGTCAGGCCCGAGGGGCAGTTGATAAGCATACCCGGAACCTTCCGGTTGGGGGAATAACCAGAAGGAGGAACAGGTGTCAACCATCTGTCCTTTCTTCTTCTATGCCGACACGTTAAACCCCCAATGCCATAACGACCATTGCCCATGACCACCCCAATGGTGGCGCCCACACGCTTCCCAGGCAACCCCATGGAAGCAGCCAGGTGTGAATCCATTAAAACAATCAGAGTAAAATTTATTTATTGATTGATTTATTTATTAAAACATTTTTATGCTGCCCCATTCGCTGAAGCCTCGGGGCGGCTTACAAGAATAAGTTAGATCATCATAAATAAAATTTTAGAATATATACATTAAAATAAAATACAGGTATACAATATAAAATAAGCCGCCCTGGCCAGATAAAATTCAATAATATTAACATTTAAAATGCTGCTTAAATAAAAAGGTCTTTGCCTGGCGCCGAAAAACAAATAACGACGGTGCCAGGCGGACCTCTCTGGGGAGCGCATTCCATAACTTAGGTGCCACCGCTGAGAAAGCCCTCCTCCAAGTAACCACCCTCCTAATTTCTTTCATGGGGGGCTCCCGGAGAAGGGCCTCTCCCGCCGATCTCAGGGGGTGGCTGGGCATATATGGATGTAAGCGCTCCTTCAGGTAGCCAAATTAAAATACAATAAAAACAATAAAACCCTGCAACCACCCGATCACAGAAGCCCGCCCACAGAGTCTATGGGCAGCCTAACCCCCGCACAGCCCCAAACGGCATCACCGCCCTTGGCTGTCGCCCTTCAGCCTTGATTGCCTTTTTCCATATGAATTTATTCACACACTTCTGTTGAAGAAGAGGTTGTTCTTTGTCCCCCTTTCACATAGCAGAAAACTATGGGTTCCAGGTTCTAGCCTGGACAACTTCTGGTATTTTAAAACTTCTTACAGGATGAAAAACAAAATAGTGCAGAGCATAAATACCCCGTCTTCCAGTTTTGCCACCCTATTTAGTACCAGAGTTTTGTGAGGGTCAGTTTTTATTTTATTTTCAGTAAATTTAGGAGGTAGATGCCTGCTAGTAGTAATGGCAGTAGCATCTTTCCTTGTTTTCTTTGAACCTTATTTTGCTTCTGCCAGTGGTTACAACAGTTCATCACCTATTTGTTTTTCCTTGCACAACACCTCTCAGCAATAATGCAGTGTCATAATTTTGTAACGTTCCAGGAAGTTCATGGAAGAAAGAGGCAGCTATAAGTAAGGAGCACCATTCTTAC